CCCCCTTTACCCATCCCAGTCTCTATGCAAACTTCACCCATCTCAGCTCCTATGCCCCCTTCACTCATTCCAGCCCCTATGCCTCCCTTTACCTATCCCAGACTGTATGCCCCCTTTCACCGATACCAGCCACCTATGCCCCCCTTTACCCATCCCAAATCATATGTCCCCATTCACCCAGCCCCTAAGCTCCCTATTACCTATCCAAGAATCTATCCCACGTTCACCCATCCCAGCCCCTGTGCCCCCTTCACCCATCCCAGCCCCTGTGCCCCCCTTCATGCATACCAGACCCTATTCCCCTTCACCCATCCCAGCCCCTATGCCCCTCACCCATTCTAGACTGTGTCCCCCTTCACCCATCCCAGCCCCTGTGCCCTCCTTTACCCATCCTAGCCACTATCCTCCCTTTACCCATCCCAGCCACTATGCCACTCTTTACCCATACCAGCCACTAATCTCAGCCTTTACCCATCTCAGCCTTTACCCATATCAGCCCCATACCAGCCACCAATCTCAGCCTTTATCCATCTCAGCCCCCATGCCCCTTTACCCATCCCAGCACCTATGCCTCCTTTACCAACCCTAGCCCCTCTACCCACTTCACCCATCCCAGACCCTATGCCCCTTTTCATCCATCCCAGCACCTATGCCTCCTTTACCAACCCCATCACCCATCCCAGACCATATGCCCCTCTTCATCCATCCCAGCACCTATGCCTCCTTTACGAGCCCCTATACACACTTCACCCATCACAGTTCCTATGCCGCTCTTCATCCATCCCAGCACCTATGCCCCTCTTTCCCATCCCAAACAATATGCCCCCTTTAACCATCTGAACCTCTATGCCCACCTTCAGCTATCCTAGGCCGTATGCCCCCCTTCACCCACCACAGCCCCATATGCCCCCTTTATACACCTGAGCCCCTATGACCTCTTTTCACCCACCACAGCCCCTATGCCACCTTTACCTATCCCAGACCCCATGCCCCCCTTACCTACTACAGTCCTATCACTCTCATTCCTATCCCTCCTTGTACTCACCTCTATGCCTTCCTGCACCCAATACAGCCCCCATCTATCTCATCCAAATCCCTTCCTATACCCACTACAGACCCTATGCCTTCCTGCACCGACTACAGGCCCCCATCTCTCACTGGATCCACTACAGCACCCGATTCCGCTCCTATCACTCCTGCTCCCACTACAGCCACTACCCCCATGCACACACTACCATCCCTACTCCCCTGCACCCACTACAGTCCATATTCCCCCTCATGCACTGAAGCCCATATCCCCCTGTAACGGCACCCTCAGGCATAAAAGGGTTAAACCGCCGTTTAGTAGATCTTCCCTTCCATAGACACAGGCACAGCTACTGCACACCAATCCGCCGAACAGGAAACCATATGAATGCCGTAAACAGCCGAATAGGAAAAACCATCCGAATAGGTTTACACTCCTAGCAGTCGAACTGGAACAGCATACAATAAATCCCCCCAAGAACGAGACGAAGCTCCATGTTGAGGGTCAAGCAGTGAACAGACAGAGCTGTGGGTTTATTGTGCTTATGTACACATTCTTACACATTAGTACCACCCACAGGGTTTTGGAACACAACCAATAAACACATACAATACACTCAGACACTCCCACGCAAAATCCTCCCCTCTGCCTGTGATACAATTACCTTACACAATGGGTAATGTAATTATAACAAGCAGAGAAATAAAAATTTTCCACATTATTCATAACTTGAAAAGTATGAATCACATTCACATAAAACTTACATCAGCATACTCCAAATACAAACATATGTCAAAATCATCCAAATTGGTCCAGTGGTTCAAAAGATAGATCGTAGTCCTTTGTGACCAAAGGAAGCATGGCTTTTCTGCCCAAAACCAGTTCCACAGAGTCTTCTATCCTGGAGATAATTGTGAAGTAATCCAATTATCTCCAAGGACAGAGGCAAAACTCCATTGAACACATGGCAGCAAAAGACAATAAAACACATAAAACATATAACTGTGCAGCCATTGTACAAAACAGGTACATTCAACATATCCCCAGATAGCTCAGATCTGAGCGCACATTATTACTGAATGGCGCTCAGAGCACACATACAGTTCAATTGCCATGGAGCCAAAGTCTTTCCCATAGTCTTTCATTATACGAATGGGCTCCATGACATAGCTATCTGGGGTATCACCGCTCAAACAGGGCAAGCACCAAATGACCCGGCTTTCATGTCTTTGCAGGGGAAAATCCAGCGTTTCACCATGGGGCCATAGTCTAAAGGCAACAGGCGAGCAACCAGGCTTCTCCAATGCAATGTGGCGAGATTGGTCTCGTCACACCCCCTCATACACTGCAGCCACTATCCACACACATATTGCAGCCTCTGTATCCCCCCAAACAGTAGAGTCTCTAGTATCCATTCAAACACACACTACAGCCCCAGTATCCCCCAGACGCCTACTATAACCATCGCAGGGGGGGGTAAGAGGTGGCACCTGCCCCCCCCCCCCTGATTTTTCAACATGCTCCCTCCCCACAGGCAATTTTCCCTCGGACTGTGACAGCTCAGTCCAGAGGAAAGAAGGAGTGAGATGCTGGGGGCTGGAAGGATGTGCTGGGGGCTGCATTTAGGTTGCCAGGGGGCCAGAGGGAGCACTGTGAAGCTCCTTTACGAATCCCCAGTAATTTGGTGCCTCTGTGCTCCACCCCTGCATTCAGGCCCTGCCTCCCACACACACATCTGCCCTCTCATAAGTGCACCAGAAGGGAGAGGACAGACTTTGCCTCCCAGTTTCACACAGCCTTCTGTGACAGGTAGGCTTCAGACAATGACAGTGATTGTGTTTGTGTGTGTGTCTGATAGTGTGTGATCTTGTGTGTGTGTGTGTGTGTGTGCCTGATAGTGAGTGAGCTTGTGTGTGTGTGTCTCTGATAGTGAGTGAGCTTGTGTGTGTGCTTGTGTGTGTGTGCCTGATAGTGAGTGAGCTTGTGTGTGTGTGTGTGTGTGTGTGTGTGCATGTGTGTGCGCCTGATAGTAAGTGAGCTTGTGTGTGTGTCAGTGAGTTTGTAATGAGCATGCGTGTGTCAGTGAGCTTGTCTGTAGTGAGCATGTGTGTGTGTGAGTTTGTAATGAGCATGTGTGTTTGTCAGGGAGCTTATGTGTAAGTGAGCTTGTATGTGTCAGCTAGCTTTTCTGTAGTGAGCATATGTGTCTCAGTGAGCATGTCCATAGTGAGCTTGTGTGTGCCAGTGAGCTGTTCTGTAGTGAGCATTTGTGTGTGTCAGTGAGCTTGTTTGTAGTGAGCATGTGTGTGTGTCAGTGAGCTTGTCTGTTGTGAGTTTGTGTGTATGTCAGTGAGTTTGTCTATAGTGAGCATGTGTGTATAAGTGAGGATGTCTGAAGGAAGCATGTGTGTTAGTGAGCTTGTCTGTAGTGAGCATGTCCATATGTGTCAATTAGCTTGTGTGTGTGTGTCAATGAGCTTGCCTGTAGAGAGATTGTGTGTGTCGGTGAGTTTGTGAGTTTGTCTGTAATGAGCATGTGCGTCAGTGAGCTTTTCTGCAATGAGCATGTGTGTGTGTGTCAGCTAGTTTTGCTGCAGTAAGAATGTGTGTGTCAGTGAGCGTGTCTGTAGTGAACATGTGTATATTTTTCAGTGAGCGTGCATGTGTCGGTGAGATTTTCTGTAGTGAGAATGTGTGTGTCAGTGAGCTTGTGTGTGTGCTTGTGTCAGTGAGATTTTCTGTGACTGCATGTGAGTATGCTTACTGTATAATTATCTTTTTTTACACTGAAAAAAACAATATTTTAAATTAGAAAAATAAATCTACCAAATATATATATATATATATATATATCAATATCCTGCAGATGCCCATGACTATAGCCTCTATCCCACACACATACAAAAGCCACTATGCACACATACACTGCAACACAACCTGCCCTCTCCACTCACATACAACACTGCAAACAGCTCCATCCACACACACCCAAAAGGAAGCTCACTGTTTTCACACAATCCCACAGGCAGCATTCCCACACATTCAATACCACATGCAGCCTCCATACACACACATCACAATAGGCATCCCCAGCATGGCAATACTGCACACATACATACAATTGCTTATATAGCACCAACATATTCTGCACCGCAGTACAATAGGTAAAACAAGACAAACAATTAATTCTAACTCAACACGTTGACATACAGGAACACACCATCACAAACAGCATCACACACACGCAACCTTGATTGAACATGTGGGGGACGTTGCTTATGATGTCACCAGCAAACACAGAGGAAGCATGTAATGAAATTTGCTTTATTTCTTTATTTTAATAAGGGGTGTATGGCATGCCAGTAAGGGTTACGTTATTCAAAAACAATGTTTTATTAAAACACTGTTTTTGGTTGAATTAACCCCTTAAAGTATATCAGGCCCTGTTTGTGGGGCCCTGCAGGTGTGGGAGTCATGACTCTGACAGCCATGATCGGTGCTGGGTAGCATGCACATAATATCTGTGTGAGAGCTGCACAAAGACCTTGCACCAGGAGGGGGGCCCTTGATCTCCTATCGACCGAGGGCCCTGTGAGTTGTCAGTCCACCCTGATGGTATAATAATCTGATCTGCAGCCACCCTTAACTTGCCTTGTGTCTTAGCTGAGGCTGATGGGAGTGAGCATATAGCTGCTCACTCCAGCCTCTCCTCTGCCTCTATGCTGCTAGTTTTCTCCAGCCTCCTCCTCACTCCCGTGCGTCTGTGTTTTTAGCTGGGAGGAAGTGACAGGCTGTCTACTTCCTCCCAGACGGCAGAAACTGTAGGGGCCAGTCGGGCTTTTAAAGAGCCGCAGCACCCGACCGGGTCCCTGTTCATCATAATATTTATCGGGTGGATAATATTAATATATGCTAAATGCCCTTAATTTATGGAGGGCATTTAGCATATTTAAGAGCCTGGAAATCACATATTGTATGTCAGTTTGTGTGTGTGTGATTTCTGGGATATTGCATTAGACTTGAGAGTGTCAAGTCTAATACAATATCCCAGAAATCACACACACACAAACTGACATACAATATATGCTGCATATATATATATAGCTGCAAGAAAAAATATGTAAACCCTTTGGAATGATATGTATTCAGTATGTGTTCAATAAAACCATGGCAACATTTCATTCTTTGTGTGTTATTAGTTTAAGCAGACTGTGCTTGTCTATTGTTATGACTTAGATGATGATCAGATCACATTTTATGACCAATTTGTGCAGAAATCCATATCATTCCAAAGGGTTCACACACTTTTTCTTGCAACTGTATATATATATATATATATATATGTGTGTATATATATATATGTGTGTGTGTGTGTGTATATATATATATATATATATATATATATATATATATATGTGGGAGTGTCTGATATAATTTTAAAGAAAGAGCATTGTATGATAGAAAAAAGACTTTCAGTGTTTTATTTTGTTGTGTAATTTTTTTCTCTTTTAAAAATGCAAAGCTAGCAATCTCTTAAAAACTGAAAAACCAAAGACCTACACAAATGAGATCCAGTTTATTTAATCCCGGACACACTGTTTAAAAAAAAAAAAAAGAGAGAATATTTTAGGTTTTCTATTACAAAAATGCATTATTTTGTTGTTGTATATAAATCTATATGATTTCTCACTTCCCATTCAGAAACAGGATGATGATGATGATGACGCAGAAACTGGTTTAACAGAAGGTGAAGACAAAGAGGACGAAGAAAAAGAGGAAGAAAAATTTGGGAAGTTACAATTCTCACTAGACTATGACTTTCAAAATAATCAGGTACCAAACATTCCAATTTAGAGGGATATGCATCACTTGACATTTTTCTTTTAAACCAGTAAGCAAACACGTTTAACCCCTTAATTTCAGACGCAATTGTCTTTCTTAAAGGAACCAAAACAAAACCTAGAATTTTAGCTATATGTCTGTTCAGCCATAATTTACCTCTTTCAAATTAACCCCTTAGTGACCAGACCGTTTTACAATTTACTTACCGTTAAGGACCAGGGGTGTTTTTACATTTCTGCGGTGTTTGTGTTTAGGTGTAATTTTCCTCTTACTCATTTACTGTACCCACACATTATATACCGTTTTTCTCACCATTAAATCATATTTCTAAAGATACCATTATTTCCAGCATATCATATAATTTACTATAAATTTTTTTATAAAATATGAAAAAATTAAAAAAACACACTTTTTCTAACTTTGACCCCCAAAATCTGTTACACATCTACAACCGCCAAAAAACACCCATGCTAAATAGTTTCTAAATTGTGTCCTGAGTTTATAAATACCTAATGTTAACATGTTCTTAGCTTATTTTGCAAGTTATAGGGCAATAAGTACAAGTAGCACTTTGAAATTTCCAAACCATTTTGTTTTTCAAAATTAACAAAAGTTACATTGTAACACTGTTATCGGTCAGGAATCCCTGAATAACCCTTCACATGTATATATATTTTAAAAGAAAAAACAATTATAATTAGGATGGCGCAAATGGGAGAAGGATCTTAGTACATGCAGCAACCAACAAAAACAAATCCTGGTAAAACGATTTGAACATAAAATAACTTACAGTAGTGATAATGTGCAACAACAAAAATCGTATTCACTATGGACCTCTTATAGAGAGTGAAAGTACCCCTGTGTAAATGAAATGAGGTGTATATAGAGTGGAAATATTATTAGTAACTGAAACACAAACAGTGGTTGTGGTAAAAAAAAGCACAATTTGTAGGTATACTTGCAAACATGGAAATCACTCTGACACCTATTAAGGAGACAAAAACAGAAAGAGAGCTCCTTGTGCAGCATAGTAATTCAATTATAGATATATAAAAAAAGCAAACAGAGGTGCCCTTAAAGTATTCCACTCACTTACCTGAGATCCGGATTGAAAGCTTCTTTTCCACAGATCCCACGCACTCTAGGGGCTGATCCTCCCTGAGTGCTATAGCAACAAGTGGTGCTTTAACCACTCCAATCTTGTGTGTGTAATACCTTAAGGGCACCTCTATTTGCTTTAACAAAAACTGCACTTTTACTGGTTATATCATCGTTGTGATAAGTTTTACTTTTTAAAACTCTCATATTTGTGTTTAGCGAAGTCTACCGAGTATAACAATACCCCTATGTAAAGGCTTTATGGTGTTTAGGAAAGTTACGGGGTTAAATATAGGGCTTAACAATTACATTCTCTGAACTGTTTACCATGGTTGTCAGTCGGGTCCCTCAAATTATAATTAATAAAATCAAATAATTATGTAGTTAAAGCGGCACTGTCATGGCCGAATCCCTTTTTTATTTTAACCCCCCCTCCCGACTCCACTACATCTAACCGACCCCTAAGCCCCCCATATTACCTATATTTTTACTTTATTTTCTGCCCCGATCTACATTCAGGATGCCACCATCTTTGTGTGGGTAGAGGAAGTCCCTGTGGGACACGTCATCTGCCCACACTAGATAGCGCTGTGAGATTCCCGCACATGCCCCGTTAAAAACTTGGGCATGCGAACGGGAATTTCATCTATTCATTAATTCATCAGAAAGACGAATGAATGACTAGAAATTTCAGATGAACAGACAAACACTGAATATCAGTGTTCGTTTGTTCGTTCAGTTTATTACAAGGAAGGAGCTACCGGCGCGCAGCTCCCTCCTTGTAATATGTAAAGATTGAAGCGGCTGGGAGCAGTGCTCCCCACCACTTCCTAAGCCCCCCATGTCCTCCCTCACTCTATGGCAGTTAATATGACCCCCATAATAGCATAAGGGAAGTTCTTTGGAACGTTTCCACGCTGTGAAAAATGACACAGAGCACTCTGGCTTAAACCAACCAATCAGAGTGTTCTTAGCCTAGGATTTATAAGCCTTACCCTGCCCTGCGGAGCTCAGTCTGCGCCGTGCTCTTGCTGGGTGAAGATGGATTAATTTTTTTTAGCGTTGATTTTTTTCTTTTTTGTCGTTTTTTTTTTTGCGCTCGGGTTTTTTATTTTATTTTAAGTTCGACGGGTATGATGGTTTTTTTATTTTGCCTTTTTTGGGGCTGAAAAATGAAGATTTTAGAAAAAAGAAGACGTCAAATGGTAAGTTTTATTTTTCTTTACAGGTTAGTTATTTTATTCCCCCCTCACTATTTTTAGGGTGAGGGGGTTAGGTAGGGGATAGTTTTTTATTTGGGTGGGGGGTGACTAGGGGCTTGGGGACCCATAGTCACCTTGGAGGGGGGGGGGGATTTGTCATTTAGGGCCCCCACCCGCCGCTTAGGGGAGGACAGTAGGCCCCCCACACATTCTTATTTAGGGCCCCCATCCGCTGCTCAGGGGTGGGGGCTGGGGGGAGGACAGAGGGCACATTCTTATTTATGGCCGCCACCCACCGCTCAGGGGTGGGGACCAGGGGGGAGGACAGTAGGTCCCCCCCCCCCCACATTCTTGTTTAGGGACCGCACCAGCCACCCAGGGGTGGGGTCCGGGGGGAGGACCGTCTGTCCCCCTCACCCACATTCTTATTTAGGGCCCCCACCCGCTACGCAGGGGTGGTGGCCGGGGGGAGGACAGTAGGTCCCCCCCCCACATTCTCATTTAGGGCCCCCACCTACCGCTCAGGGGTGGGGTCCGGGGGGGGGGGAGGACAATAGTCCCCCCCCTCATTATCCTTTAGGTACTAGGGTTTTTTTGAACAGTGAGCAGCAACTGGCTGCTCACTGTTTACTAGACATGCCCCTACTCGCGGTATAACGAGTAGGGGCAGCATTTACTGAAATAGTCCCTACTTTGTCTTTAGTTTTAAAGAAAACTAGAGCTGATAGGAAGAAATGAAGAACAGATCCTGAGAGAGGGAGAGAAGAGGAATCGATTGGGGAAAGGGAAGTTCGGCATGACAGTGCCACTTTAATAGTTAAATACACTGAACAAAATTATAAACTCAACACTTTTGTTTTTACCCCCATTTTTCATGAGCTTAACTAAAAGATCTAAGATTTTTTTTTTGTGGGACCAGATGAAATGTGTGAATAATTTGCGTATCGTGCTGAACCATACCTTCGGTATTGTTATGGGAAGGACTTGGAGCATGTATAAGATCCTGAGTAGGATATTCATTTTTAGGATGTTTAACCTGCAGAACCATCCAAATTGTGGCTTGTTCCAGGCTGTTAGATCTGATTGGATTGCTTTTTGTAAGTTAGGGAAGTTGCTTTCGAATAGGCGTGTTGTATCTCTAGTGATGTGCACCCCGAGATATTTAATGCTATAGGGGGCCCACGCAAATTGATATTTATGTTTCAATGTTGTTGCGGAGTGTACCTGCACTTTTATTGGGAGGATTTCACATTTTGTGAGGTTTGCCTTAAAGTTGGATACAGTACTGTATGTGTTCATTTCTTCCATCAGGTGTGGGAGTGATTCCAGCGGGTGTGTGATAGTAAAAAGCATGTCATCTGCAAATGCTGCTATTTTATGGTTTTGTTGTCCCGTGCGGATGCCTTTAATGTTGCTGTTGTCTCGTATACCTTGGAGGAATGGTTCCAGGACCACCACAAAAATGAGGGGGGAGAGGGGGCACCCCTGCCTAGTTCCATTTGAGATTGGCACACTATCTGAAAGCTGACCATTTACCCTAATATTGGCTGTGGGGTTTGAGTAAATTGCTTTGATCCATTTTAGCCAGTTAGGTCCGAAGCCTAGGTATTGGAGCGTGTATAGCATTAGAGTCCAGTCAACTCTATCGAACGCTTTTTCCGCGTCAATAGATAAAAGTAGGCTAGACTCTTCCATGCGTGTGGCTTGGTGCACTAAGTTTATGATTTTCATGGTATTATTTTTTGCCTCCCGTCCGGGTACGAAGCCTGCTTGGTCTGCATGTATAATCCCCGGCAGTAGGGGGCGGAGCCTGTTGGCCAGTATTTTTGTAAAGAGTTTGAGATCTACGTTTATTAAGGAGATCGGTCTATAACTACCACACTGGGATAAGTCTTTGGTTTTAGGATAAGTGTGATTGTAGCGTTCAGTG